GATAACTCTGGAGTATGGCACAGGCAACCCGTCAAATGATGATTGGGTTGGAGTGTTTTCTCCTGCCAATTTCAGGTGAACCACACTTGGTTATAAAACTGTCAATATCTTAAATACTGAGCTCTATTTGAAAAGTTTAAGATATGAGAAATGAGTTTCTTCTGCTGATTTTAGTTACATAATTTTTCATTACTTTTAAGTTTAAGCTAATATGCTGAACGTTTACAAAATATTTCAGTGCAGCTACGTGTGACCCTGAAAATAACATGGTGACTCCACCACTTTTGTGTACAGCTCCTATAAAGGTCCGTCCCATTTATAGATTTATAGTGCAACCTTTTAGAAGATCTTTTCTCTGGAGATTGACTCATGTCTCTCTTCTTTTGCAGTATCAATTTGCAAATCGCTCCAATCCCAACTATAAAAGAACAGGAAAAGGATCGTTAAAGCTTCAATTGATCAACCAGAGATCAGATTTCTCCTTCGCTTTGTTTTCTGGTGGATTACGAAATGTATGTTAACACTTACTCTTGCCCAGTTTACCTCTATAGACTTTGCATATTTTACATGAAGCAAAAGTCAGAGACCAAATTCTAAAATCCGCTGGTCCAATTCTCTTTCTTAGAGTCTTTCTCCAAAAAAAAAAAAGATGTCTCTTTTTCAAGACGATATTTGACTTGTTTTAAATTTGTTAAAAATCCTTGATTTCTTTCTTTCTGGTTGGTTTTATTTTCTTGGTTTGTCTGCCTTTTAATCCCTCTCGATGAAGACAGTTTCTACAGTCTGATGTCCCCTTGTAATATGAATTTGTTTTTATCATGCCACATGAATAAGCTCTTGTAGGTGATGGCTCAAATTCTCACACATTTGTTTCTTGTATGAATCTGACTAAAGGCTAGAGTTGCTTATCCAGGATTGATGTCAGCTTATTCTAATGCATTTATTTTCCTGTTTAACAGCCAAAGCTGGTAGCAGTGTCAAATACTGTTGCCTTTGCACATCCAAATGCACCATTATACCCGCGGTTAGCACAGGGAAAGACATGGAATGAAGTAAGTTTGTTTCTTCCACTGTTTCTTAACATGTGAAACAAGGTTGAATTGTGTTTCAGGCAGGATAATCAATGTGTTGTGCAGCGTGACTAATAGTTTGAATAGTGACCACTTTGGAAGCCCAGAAAAATGACAGTTTAAAATTGATGTTCAGATGACTGTTACATGGACAAGTGGATACGATATCAATGAAGCAGAGCCCTTTGTGGAGTGGGGTCCACAAGGTGGACAACAGATTCGTTCACCAGCAGGGACTTTGACTTTTGATCGTAGTAGCTTGTGTGGTGGGTATTTTTTCCCTTCATGTTGTGTCCTAAAACTGGCATCTGTTTTCCATAAATGTAACATGATGCGTTTCATATGTTTTCTGTTAATGTGACATATGATGCACATATTGGAGACTTGATTGGATACAATCAATATATGCTAAGCAACTGTGTGGAATACACCTACTTCACTTTGACAAACACTGGATGAATGTCATTTTATTCTGCATTAACTTATAAAAGTTTCTTTTAAAAAGAATGTCATTCTGTGCTTGCAGGTGCACCAGCAAGAACTGTTGGATGGCGCGATCCAGGATTCATTCACACTAGTTTTCTGAAGGAGTTGTGGCCCAATTTAGCGTAAGTTTACACTCTTCCTAGAAGCAGAAGGACAATAATCAAATCTTTTAAATGATTTCATGTTTTACTGGGCATCCATTTCTGAAAATGTCAGATACTTTGAAATTCTTCTTCTTTCCACTATAGTTGGATATCAAAATACATCTGCGGATATGAAACTTAGTTTCCTATTAGTTGGATAAGACGGTTGCACTCCATGCTAATGCAGGTTGACATTTGAAATGTAAATTCAATGAACTTTCTGATTATGCAGATATACCTACAAGCTGGGGCATAAACTGTTTAATGGCACGTATATCTGGAGTCAGATGTACAAATTTAAAGCATCGCCCTATCCTGGCCAAAGCTCTCTTCAGCGAGTAGTCATTTTTGGTGACATGGGAAAGGTTTGAACACTCTTAACATCTTTCTTCTATTTTTCGTTTTAGAATAGAGAGCTGAGTGTTTATATCTGTGCATAGATATTTGTACTTAATTGTCTTGAAACTCTGTAAATTGCTCTCTTTTGAGTTTCCTGTCCTTCCATTCAGAAGTGGATTATGTTGCAATCTTGTTCATAGTAGAATTTTTTGCATCTTACTATTCCATTAGCAGTACTTATGGAAGGTTATATATGGATTCTGCCATTGCTTAAGATCTACCGCTAGCAAATTTCAGAAGTTACACTTAACAAAGACCTATTTTTGCCTTCTTAACTACAGGAAGAAGCCGATGGCTCAAATGTGTACAATCAATACCAACCTGGCTCCCTTAACACTACCAAGCAAATCATTGAGGACTTAAAGAACATTGACATAGTTTTTCACATTGGTGATATCGTTTACGCCAATGGATATCTTTCTCAGTGGGATCAATTTACTTCTCAAGTAGAGCCGATTACTTCAAGAGTACCATACATGATTGCTAGGTACTTTGCAGGTTTTTTACAATTTATTTCTGAGTACACACTTGTCTGTTTTCTTTTTTCATGTAACTAATAAATTTTTTCCCTCCCAGTGGCAACCATGAACGCGATTGGCCTGATAGTGGGTCATTTTATGGTAAAAGGGATTCAGGTGGAGAATGTGGTGTCTTGGCTCAGACAATGTTCTATTTTCCTGCCGAAAATAGGGATAAGTTCTGGTATGGTGACTGTTTCTTTTGGATAATCCCAAGTTGTTTTCCCTCCCAAATCCTACTTGATGTGTTACTTATCTACTATATGCATATTTTTTCTTCCAGAAAATTATGGATATGCACCTTTTGTGGTTATATTTATTAGAATCAGACTTGTAACAATTTTAGCGCTCAAATGTTGTTTAAAACCTAAATGTGCATGGCTGTTGGATAAACTTAAACTAGACTTAATTGTCATCAACTTTGTACATATGGAGGCAGTGAATAGATACTTCTCCACCCCCCCACCCCCCTCCCCCTCCAAAGTGTGAGGCTTAATGTTGTCGTATGCTCTCAGGTACTCTACTGATTATGGTATGTTCAGATTCTGTATTGCTGATACTGAACATGATTGGAGAGAGGGCACCGAACAATATAAGTTCCTTGAACACTGCTTCGCATCTGTAGATAGACAGAAACAGCCATGGCTAATCTTCCTTGCACATAGGGTACTTGGTTACTCTTCTGGTGATTTTTACGCAGATGAAGGATCATTTGGAGAACCGATGGGGAGGGAAAGCCTTCAAAAACTTTGGCAGAAGTATAAAGTTGATATCGCCATATATGGTCATGTCCATAATTACGAAAGAACATGTCCCATTTACCAGGTATCCTAAACATATGAATTGTCCATGCAACGTTTTTGTTCTCATCTTAGTTAAATTTCATGACGAGTGCAACTGATGACGCTTAGGTTCTGAGGACATTGAAAATAATGATGATCTTATACCTCCATCCCATGTAAATCTCTCCCAGAAAGTAAATATTCAATGTTTCCCTTTTCATAGGACCGTGTCTGACTAGCACGGGGATACGGATGAAATTTGACTTATATATTATATTTTGACAAAGACATATATTTGGATGGATGGAGTACTAAAGAGCTAAACTGCATGCACAAATGTTTTACAAACTAGAGAGTGATTCAACATTTAATATTCTTGTTTCTCAAATATTTATACTTCATTCTTTAACGCATTTGTTGTGTCTTCGTGAATGGCAGAATATTTGTACAATGACCGAGAAGAACTCGTACAAGGGAACCTTGAACGGGACAATACATGTCGTTGCAGGAGGAGGTGGAGCTGGTCTAGTTAAGTTTACATCCCTCCAGACTAAGTGGAGTATATTCAAAGATTACGATTATGGATTTGTGAAGATGACAGCATTTGATCATTCAAACCTGTTGTTCGAGTACAAGAAGAGCAGTGATGGCAAAGTGTACGACTCTTTCAATATTTCCCGGGATTACAGAGACATCTTGGCATGCACTGTGGATAGCTGCCCAAGCATGACATTGGCATCTTGATTGGTTTATGAAGATGACTTTAAAGTTTGATTTCTGTTATGCACTTATGTTGCATCCCACTATACCATCAATATCTTTACAAGAGAAGCCCCGTGCACAAAGCATCCTGCGTTCCGAGGAATCCAAGTTCAGAGTCACAAACAGCAGGAACCTCACAGATAAACAGTCTGGGTGAATAGATGATAGAGGGTGATAGATTGTTTATTAGCCTTTTTCAAGTATTTCTGTTATCCAATGTATTGCTATCATCTTTCATAAAACAATTGGCTTAAATGTTATCAACAAGTGTCTCCATAAAGTCTAATACAGTTATACTCATATGAGTATAACAATAGTCTTTTTTTTTAGTCAAATACGAGAGAGAAAATTAAAATAAGGTATACTAATTATAAACACGACTTTGCAAATTTTCTTATCAGTTAAGGACGTGCAAAATTAAATATACACTTAAATAGTTAATATTTAACCTCTATGCACCACACAATTTTTCGGTGGAGGATTTGCACCAGACCACCCTTCGCCTAAGTAAATTCCGCCCATGCAAGTGCAGTATCATCTCCAGAGATGATAGAATGTACACGGATCTTACTTTTATCTTTGGTAAAAAAGCTATTTTCGATAGATCATCAACTTAAAAGAAGTATAATAAAAACACGATCGACAAGAAAATAACAATATCTGAGAAGATAAACAAAACAAATGACGACGAGTGAAATTGAAGAATAGGGTATTTAGATATTTAAGGACATATTTAACCTAGAAAAAAACTTTGGGGACTAAAGTGTAGATATTCCTAAAGCAAAATCTACTGGGCCCTGACAAAAACCCCAAAACCTAAACCCACGCTCACATCACCTCTACCACCAGCTTCGCTTCATAGTTGCTGGGTGGATTTTACAGAGACACTCACTGAAGAATTTTCATATTTCTTCGTTTGCTTCTGGTAATTCTTTTGATATTTAGAATAAAAATCGAATCTTTGAAATGCCACATTTGTAATATTTTCATATGATTCAGACCCATATTGTTCATTTCATGTTTGTACTCGTATGAATGAGTAAATGCGATTTAATGGGTTGTTAAGAAACCAAAAACATATCTGGGTTTTGTTTAGTTTCCGTGGGTCTTGAGGGGTTTTCATTGTATTTGATTGAATCCACGATTTGTTTGTTTCTTGATTGAGCTAGTTTTTTTGATCAATTTGAACATAGTAACTGCTGTTTTTGATGTGTTAATGCTTCTGGGATTCGTGATTCTTGAAAAGGGTATTCAATATTAGTGGTATTTGAGGTATTGCGTAGTATGTATTGAAGTGGAGATTAGTGGATAGGCAATATTTTGTTTGGTGTATATGTTTGAAACTGAGGGGAGAGCATCAGAATATGCTCACTCTGCGCCTGGTTCGCAGATTTGGAACTAGGAGTCGCCTTGCTGCTGTCTCGGGTGCTGGTAATACTTCTAAAAAAACTTTAGTTTCTAAGAGGAAGAGTGTAAAAGTAGATGAACCAGCACTTTTTAGGCTAAAAAAGGAAAAGAACCCTGAGAAGTTGTTTCAGTTATTTAAGGAGAATGCTCATAATAAGATTGTCATTGAGAATCGCTATGCGTTTGAAGATACAGTTTCTCGGTTAGCAGGTGCGGGCAGGTTTGATTACATTGAAAATCTGCTTGAGCATCAGAAGACACTGCCACAAGGTCGCCGTGAAGGTTTCATTATTCGAATTATAATGCTCTACGGGAAGGCTGGGATGATACAGAATGCTATGAAGACCTTCTATGAGATGCATTTATATGGATGTCCACGAACTGTTAAGTCATTCAATGCTGCACTCAAGGTTTTGACCCAATCTCATGATATGGAGGCCATTGAGTCCTTTCTGTGGGATGTTCCTGAAAGGTTCTCCATCAATATAGATATACTTTCAGTTAATACAGTCATTAGCTCATTTTGCTCAATGGGTATCTTGGAGAAGGCTTATTTGTTCATGGTTGAGATGGAAAAGTTAGGTATATCACCTGATGTTTTTACATATACGATACTTATATCTGCCTTCTATAAAGTTAACCGATGGCAGATTGCCGATGGATTGTGGAACCTCATGGTCCGTAAAGGTTGTATGCCTAATGTTGCTACCTTTAATGTTAGAATTCAATTCATGGTAAATATGAGGTTTGCTTGGGAAGCTAATAAATTGTTGCAGTTGATGAAACGTATTGGGATAACTCCTGATGAGGTTACATACAATTTAGTGATCAAAGGCTTTTTCCTAGTAGAGAATCTTCAGATGGCAAAAAGAATCTACTCTGCTTTCCATGGTGCGGGCTTCAAGCCAAATTCTAGAATCTATCAAACAATGATTCATTACCTGTGTAGAGCAGGTGATTTTGATTTGGCATATTCAATGTGTAAAGAAAGCATGAAAAATAATTGGTTCCCAAGTTCGGATATTATTAAAAATATCCTTGAAGGGCTGTGCAAGGATGGAACAGAGGAAAAGATGGGAAACGCTCGATTTTTAGTCATCCTGGCTAAGAAAAAGATACCCCCTTTCTCAACAGAAACTTTGAACGTGATGCGGTCAATAATAGATCGTAGTTAAAAGTACAAAAACATTTATTTCTGCTCAATGGTTTAGCTGATTTTGCAGCACCTCCATAATCCACAAAGCTCCATTTTCTTTTTGGTGAAGCAGAAGTGATGAATTATTACTTCAATGGATTATGAGCCTCCACATAATTTGTAATTTCTCCAGAAATAAGATTTTACTCTTTCAGGGAAGTCCAATGGGGACTGAAGGATGTTTGGAAGTACAATGGCAACCTAATTTAAATGGTAAGTTTCATGTTCCCTTTTTTCATGATTCCTGTTTATATAGAAACATCTCCTGGTAGATGTATTCAGTTATATGTTTGCGTTTGTTTTTCTTTCACTTTTTCTAGCTCAGGCATTAAGTTGCCGTGTTTGAAGGAAGTGAGGTGTTTCTTTGAAATCTCCATTTTTTGCATTTAGATTTCTTGGTGTATTTGGGATGTCTAGGGTATGTAGCAGTTCCTTGGTTATCATCTGTCAACAAGCACTGCAGCTAGTAGTATATAATATGCAGTAGGTTATATTTGATTAATTATTTATCTTTCACTTGTCTTTACACTTGGTGCTCAGTAGATGCTTGAACTTCAAGTCAAAGCTATGCCATGTAGGGGATAATGGAACAAGTATGGCGGAGTTAGTTGCTTAGCAGCACCTCAAAATAGACCTCCACAAAATCAACTCTGTTTTTTTTAATGATGTAAGGTGTTGCGTAACTCGCATCAAGAAGATGCGAAATAGTACAAAGAGGTTGGCTAGCTCCAGTTACAAACAAAATACATTTCCAGTCAGGGAGCTAACCAATAGAACCAAAAAGCCTAAAGGTTGGGTATCATGCCAAAGTAGAGAGCTAATAAAATCTAGAAACGGGATAATATTATTAAGGGGGAAAGATTGCTCCAACTATAAAGATCCTTAAGACATTTGGCTTTCAGGGAACTATTGGGAGTTGAAATGCCATCAAAGCATTTCCAACTCGTTTCTGTCCAAATACACCAAAATATACATACTGGGATCGTCTGCCTGATCTTCTTGATGATTTTGTCAGTAGCTCCAACTTTCAACTACTTCTTTTATGCCTTGAGGGGTTGTCCAACTAAATGCCAAAAACTGAAAGGAATATGTCCCACAAATCAGCAGCCACTCTAGTTTAGATTCTGAGCTGTTCGAACACATGTAAAATCTATTCACCAGCTGAAAGTTCCTTCTATACATAGATTGTCTTGAGTCAAAATAGCACCTGTAAGTTCTATCCATGTGAAGAACATGACCTTTCTTCGGAGTTTTGTCTTCCATATAAGCTTCCATGGGCAAAACTCAATTACTTCATTAAGTGCGCACAGTTTCTTGTACCCTGCCTTTACTGAATAATAACCTCTATTGAGGTTGTCCTACCTTAGACTGTCTTCTTGTGTGTTCATTTGGAAGCTTTCTAGTAAATTGAGAAGATCAAAGAGTTTGCCAAGTTCCCATTCCTGCATGTGTCGTCTGAAGAGGGGATTCCATGTGTTCCCTGATCTGTATTGACAATTGTAGAGTTGGGATCCACTGTAGTCTGGTAAAGGGAAGGGTGGGTGTCTTTTAGAGGTTGCACAATCAACTCTCTTGGACCCCCTGAACTGGGTCTAGTACTCATGAAAGTTATTCTGCTATGAGATAATCTTTAGGTACTGTAGTTGGGCAATCCTCCCCCCTCATGAACTAGATTTTGGGGTTAAGTTAGGCCTAAAGTCCATTTCTTTATTCGCCCCGAACACCACAATTATTAAAAAACATGCTTTAACCCTTATATACATGGTTTGGGTTTTTAGTGCCGACTAAAACGCAAGGTTGCATAAAATAGTTTCCTTTACTAAGAGAAGGCAGCGATTGATGCAAAGATGAGGAAGTAACACTCTGAACTTAGTAACATGGTATACTGGAACTGATTCAATAAAGTAAACCTTCTTTGGAATTGGGTCCAAAGAAAGGAGAACAAGAGCAAAACCAAGTCTGCTGTTGCCTAAACTATTCATGGGTGTTGATGCAACAATGTTAAATGGTTAGTCCCTGGGTATGATTACTTGCTTTGGATTCTTAAAAGTACACCCTGTGATATCGTATAATTACAGCAAATTACCATGTGTGCTGATATGATTGATCTTTCAAGTTGACCCTTACCATAGTCATTGCCTGCAAGGCAGCTGGTCAACATGTTAGTATCGTAAGATGGGTATTAAAGTGATATCTAATGGCTATGGGTTTTAGTTGAATATTAGGCCGTGTAATCTGGAGCTGTTTAGCCATCCGTTCAGAAAAAAATAGTTTCTTTTCTTTTTTGTTGACTAAATTCCTCCCATAATAATAAGAAAGTTTAACACTGTTTTCCTTCTTTTCCCCAACTTTCAGCATTTTTCTCCTTTTCCTTGGTGAACTTCCTAGATTTGACATGGTCAGGCATTCTGAAGCCTAGTAGTCTTCTCATGGCCAATATAGTAATGACTGGTTTTTACTTTTTGAACTGCAGGACAGTATTCCAGTGTTTCATTTGCCACACCAAAGTATATACTTCCACGATGGGATCATATTGCTTTTCAGTTTGAGCTGGTTGCTTAAAGGTAGTTATACTTTGGCTATCTGGTAAAATTTAGTTTTTTTAAAAATAAAATAAAAACGTAAGTGGTATTTAGTTCCCTTTTCCCCTTAGCAACTGTGTAGTTTTAGGAAGAAATATATTCCCTTGAAAAAAGAGAAAGAGAGTAAGTTGGAGGACAGAGGTCCTGATCTCTGCTTAAATGTAAAACACCCTTTCTTTCATAGGTTCATTTATCATCTCTGAATCTCTGAGGTGTAATACTGATTATGGCACGTGCCAGTTGTGTATAACTGATTTATAATATTGAATATGATTTGATGGACTGAACACTGCAATAGAGCTATATAGGTTCATCGAGAACTGTCTCTAATCCATCATTTGCAAACAGGCAAACAACTATGGTGATTTTCCCTGCACTTTGAGCTGTCTGGACATGAGAATTTTATAAAGAAGTTGAAAAAAAATCTTCAAAAAACTTGGTTCTGTTAAAATTTTTCAAGAAGTTTGTAAAAGAATTCTTCAAAAAATTAGTTGGGTGGAGAAGTGCCGTGGGGTTTTTTGACAAACAAACAAATGTTCTTTCACTTGCAAAACAATCTCAAAATTTTGAGAAAAAAAAACTCTAACTATTTATACAGTTCGTCTTCTGTATAAAAAAATAATTCCCAATAAACTTTTTCCAGAAATTGGCAGACCCCAGCTAGCTTCGGATTGAGGTGTAGTTAGTAGACATCTTCTGAAAATTGTCCAAACAGGTCCTAACTTCATGCTGATGTAGGAGCTTCGGTAGAACAGAAGAGGAGGGCAACCTTAAAATCTTTTCAGCTGTATAACTACCATGTGCATAACTATGGAAGGACATCCCGTTACCAGGTATTTTTTATCTTTACTTTTCCCAAACTAGTTCTTTTACCAGGTATGTTCAGAGCTTTTTATATGATTTTCCAGTCATTTACTGGCGGAAAGACAGCTGGTCTATTCTGTTTAATTCATAGCAGGAGAGAGAAGGCTGTTTATCAATAAAACCCAAATCAGGATAGAAGGCAAAACTGAAAAAACAAAAGAGAAAATAAGCAAAAACAAAGAAGAAAGGAAATGAGAAGGTTTTGTGCATATTGAAAATTAGGTGTGTTAGTGGAATGTGTTTCAGTAGCATAAGAATAAGCCCCTCCGTTTAAAAATGAATGAAGAAGTTCGGAGTACCAGAGTTGAAAACCTTCTAATAATTATCACTCTCAACTCGAACAGTGGCCTTTTAATCCCTTTAAAATAAAATCTACATAATTATAAACTAGGGAAAAAGTATTGCAAGTTACTATTCTTTTAATATTGAAAATATATGGAAAACTTGTGGTCAGTAAAAGTTGCTGCACTTTTCAAATATTAAATGTGTCATATAAAATGGAATGGTGGGAATACTATTTTTCTTTTGTCCAGCCTCCAGGCCTTTGGTCTAGTGAAAGAGCGCAATGTGTGTGGTGTGGATTAGGTGCACATCACGAGTTTGAACCTTGTCATAACCTTTATATTTAAATGAAGAGTATAGGGGGCAGAAATATAGCTGAATTATTTTTACTACTCTATAGTGATCAAGTAAATCTAACATCAAAATTTGGGATAAAGAGTAGCTATTTGTTGTTCTGCCTAGCATTTTAATGACAAAAGAAGGCTTACATTACATGTCTTTTCAAATGATTTTGGCTAATGCCTCTGTTTATTCTCAATAAACAGTGAGAAGCACTTTAAAGGCAATTACAACAGATACACGTCTGTTGCTCGCGAAGCTGGAGCTGCAATCTAGGATTTAGCCACCATCCAGACCGAGTTGAGTACTTTCAGGGATTATGATCAGGCATTTGTGAAGCTGACAGCATCGGAGTATTGAACCAGCAGCTTCCTTACATATTGATGAACACGAAAGGGACTGATTCATGAAGGAGTAGGGCGCTGACAGATGATGCCCTATCGTACTCATTTCAGTCTGCTATCAATCCCTTTGATCAAACAAACAAAACCAGTTAAGTGATGCTTCTCTATGGCTGTACTCGACCTGCACTGTGTATAGTTTCTGGAACATGGCCTTCGTCTTCTCTGTTGGTTTTTGAAGTAACAGATGACATTTTCAGCTCAATGTGCAACTGCCAGTGCCTTAACATCGTTGGTTCAGCATCATAGTGACCCACATATTCCCCTCTCTCGGATACATCTCTATCCCCTCTCGGATACATTCCTATCCCCTCTTAGATACATCCCTCCCCTCTCGGATACATGCGTGATCTATGTATCTGTAGATTTTCTGATGTATCTGACATCCTATAATTTTAAGGAACTTTTGTAATTTGGAAAAGAATAGAGATAGGATGTAACTAACTCTTAACACTATGTGATTTATGTAATTTTTATGAATTAAAGGTAGTACTATAAGGAAAAGAAAATTAAGTTGTTTTTTTCCTTCAAATTTCACCAAAATAAAAAATCTTGTTTGAACATATTTTTATTTCAGAAGTGAATTTATGCATTGTCACCTAAGTTTGATTAGAACTAAATGATTAATTCCAACACTAGTTAGAATTACAGAAAACTTAAAACTACATTCTGGTAAAGTTTAAGGACTATACTGTAATTAATTTAACGGAAAAGGCTCAAAAATACCCCAAAACTATTGGAAATAGCTCATATTTACCCTTAATTTATATTTCGGCTCAAATATACCCTTGTTGCGAAATGAGGGAAAAGGGGTGAGGTGAAATCATTTCTAAGGGAAATGGAGAAATGAGGGGAAAATTAGGGGAAATGGGTGAAATCGTATTGAGGGGAAAATTAGGTATTAGGGGAAAATTATTAGTCTACGTGGCAGTGGAACCCTATTATCGCTTATGTGGCATGCAGTGTGGCATCCACATGGCATTTAACAACTTCCGTTAATAAGAAGAGTACTTTTGACCCAATAGTTTGATGGGAAGGGTAAATTTGAGCCGAAATATAGTTTAAGGGTATTTTTTACCCTTTTCCATTAATTTAATTTTAATTGTCATAATCTTAATTCTTAAGTGATAATCAACATGTTTGATTGTTAATTTTTTTTTCCCTTTAAAATAGTCAATAAATAAGCGAGACCCGAAGGGTGAGCTTATGGCGGTTAGCTTCTAGCACTAAATAATAGGCATTATAATTGATTTCCTTAATTAAACTTCTAATCCAAACAAATTGCATTCATTATTTAAAAATTGATTTCATAATAAGTTTTTTCTTGGTCAAAAGTCAAAATTGAACAATATTGAAATAATAAATGCAATTTGTTTGAATTAGAAGCTTATTAATGAAATTAATTAATTTTTTATTATTATTCTTGAGATTTTTTTTTAAATCAAATATGTTGGTTTTCCACTTAAGATTATGACAATAAAGTTTAAGTTAATTATATTGTAGTCTTAAACTTCACCAACAATTATAGTTTTTACTTTTCTATAATTCTAACAAGCTTTGAAATTAATCAGTTTAAGTTAAAATGATATTTTGGGGGACATAAATTATATCCACTCTTGAAATAATATGTTTAAACATGAATTTTCACTTTGGTGAAGTTTGAGTAACTTAAATTTCTAAACTTTTTCTATAATATACTTTTATTGTCACTAAAATATACTATAAATCACGTGTTTTATTATATTATTTTTATGAAATGATTGTTTATTCATTTATTCAATTTAATAAAATTTTACTCTTAAAAAGATTAGACATTTATATTTGTGTCATTTGCTTATGTGATAGATGATTTAATGTATAGAACTTATATTATGCATAAAAGATAAAAGTGCCAATTTTTATAAGTGTATAATTTATATTAAATTTAAATGAAAATTGAACAGATCCATCAATGTATGACAGAATTTGAATAATAAATATATAAAATAAACCAAATTAAGTGAAGATTGAGGTTTGATTTTTTGGGACATTTTTATTTCATTAATGTGGCAAAAGAAAATCAATTGAACACTTCTTTCGACCGGTTATAAAATTTACAAACGCATGAAGAATATCAGTTTAAGCATAAATGAATCATACGAAATTCTTAAAAGAGGTAACTTACATGTTTATTCGTATTATTTTAAATCTTTTCAGGAACTTTTGAATCACTTTATTCGTCTAAGCTTGTTGGAGACTCGATTTTGTCAATCCTTGAAACTAATTTTCATGATATGTTATATGGTATGTTCTCTGTAATATATTTTATAATAAAAGTCAAAACATTATTCAAACAAATGACATTAACGCTATTATACAAAAATTGGATTATATCTCAAAATCGTACTATGAAAGTATATTGTATTATTAATGAATTCATTCCCTAAGTATGCATAAAAATAATTTTAACATAATTATTTTTGTATATTATCAACTAATAAATTTTTTAGACAATTATTAATAATATGTAATTTCATAGTTGTCACTAGTAAAAACTAATGAATTTGGATGAAGTTATACCATTTTTGATATATAAATAATAATAATATTCGACTTAAATACACACAATATAATTTTTTTAAGTTCATTTGATTATTCTTTCCTGATTAGAGCCGTCAAAACGGGCAAGCCCAGCCCTACCCCGCCCAAGCCCCACAGGCCAAAGAATTTGATGGGCTGGGGCGGGCCGGCCCTTCATTTCAAAGGGCTGTAAAATGGTCAACCCGGTCCAACCCCAGAAGGGTCAAGGGCTGGGGCAGGCCAGTCCTCATTTGTTTTTTATGTCAAATCAATGTCACAAACAGTAACATTGTTTCAATAATTCTACATAAAAATCTAGCAATAAATATTTAAAGAAAAAAATAATAATCTCTTAAGTAAATAATATCTGAAAAACAAACTAGTAAACTAAAGAACACTTCTGACTAAAACTTTAGTTAGCAATACATAATTACTTAAATTATTTTGTTAAATGAAATTAAGAAAATTGTTACATGCGTGAAAATTGTCTAATGTCGTAGCAGAAACGAGACGACAATAAAACTATAAGAGTAAAGAGACAGAGAGTTGTAGTTCAAGAATTTAGATATATTAGGGTTTAGGGACTTAAGTTTTTAAGAGTAATGACTTTAGAATTTATAAGGCATTAGCTTTTTAAATCTTCACGTACTAGTAGTCTAGTAGTACTAATCTACTATAGCCGTATAGGTTAGAGGTTACATTTAGGTTTTCTAGTTTTTAATATTTATTTTAATTAAAATTAAATAATTTGGCTCACGGACCAACCCCGATCCGGCCCCGATCAAGCCTCAAGGGCTAAGGGCTTAAAAGGGTTGGGATTATAAGCCCCGATTTTAAATGGAATTGAAAAATTATATCCCAACCCTGACCCAATAACAAATTGGGTCGGGCCGGCCCCATGAGCTAAGCCCTTTTTAACGGCTCTATTCCTGATTATAGTCTAATTGTTTTAAAATAAAATTCTTTCTTGATAATATCCGACTTCTAAGTTTCTTGCTATTAGATATTATCAAAATAATAATTGAGGTATTTCAAATAAGTATTTATTATCAAATATGCTCGTTGTTTCAACTTTAAACTTGAAATTTAAAAAATATATTTAAAGAGTTTTTAAAATTTCCACTTTTCAAACTTTGACTAAATTTTATGTCTAGCCATATAACTTCGACCTTCAAAATACCCTTTATTAATTGAAACTTCAAATACTATTTTTTTTTTAATAGTTTTTAACAAACATATTTTCAATTATATTTTACTAAGTAAAATTACCCGCACTTCGCGCGAGAATTTAATATTACGAAATTTATAAAATAATACTTAAAATCTATCGGTCATTAAAACTAAAACACTATATTATCTTACACACAAGATTATGTAGTAACAAACACTAATAATGTAAAGGAAAATGAAAATTATTACATCTTATCATTTATCCTTAATAACATAAGCATAAAATAATGACTGTAAAAATACATACCATGATCTGTAACATAAGTAATGGTGTCTGTGAGCCAATCAACAGGAGCAAAGTACACAAATATTTAATTTTGAAGAAGAAGAAGAGGTTCAGAATTTTCGTTGTTCTAAAATGAGAGGAAATCCCTCTATTTATCGACAACAAAGGATAGTGTGAACAAATATTTATTGTGCCTTATCGCAAATGTTACAACTATTTGGAAAAGTTGCAACCTTTCATAAAAGTCACAACTTTTCTTTAAGTCGCAACTCTTCATTAAAGTCGCAACTTTTCATAAAAGTCATAACTTTTTCATAAAAGTGACAACTCTTTATAAAAGTCGCAACTCTTCATTAAAGTTGCAACTTTTCATAAAAGTTACAACATTTCAAAAATGTCGCAACTTTTCATCAAAGGGAAAGACTAGTTTTGAAAATAAATAAATTAAAAGAGAATTCTGGTTTGTGGTAGCGCCACGTAGGCGTGCCTAAGGTTCTCTTTTATATAAATATATGATTTTTAATCACATAGTTTCGATCTTCGAATATCCCCCCCCCCCCCTTTTTTTTTTAATTTTACACTCACCATATTTCAACTGTGATTTTGTCTATATACAATGTTAACTTACAAATATCTTTTCTCAATTAAACTTTAAATAATATTCCTTTTTTTAAAAAATAAAAAATATCAACTATTTCATGTCCAAACACATACTTTATATTATTTCTAAGAATATTATAATAAACATATAAGGAAAGTACTTAATTGATTTACTAAATATTGACCTATAATATCCTAGTTGGAATTAGAGAAAATATATCCAAGAACTAAATATTTTTCACTCCACCACTATAAATTGTTACATACCTTCTCTTTATTCCTTCTTTGATATTTTTCAATTCCAAACTTTTTCTTCAGAGGTATTCACAAATTCCTTTTTATTTTTTTTGCCTTTCTTGTGTAAATTTTCTCAAAGTTGTTTTTTCCCTCTAATCTTCTATGTTTTTTTTTCTTGATTTCTTTAAATGATTTTTTTATATTTATCGGCTTTGTAGGTTTTTATAATTTTGAGTTATTAATTTTTTTTTTTATTTTTTTTTTAACTCCAGGATATCCCGCCGCCGCTATAACCTCTGCCACAGTCTCTGCTCTTCGGGTGAGCACTTTGTGCGCACTGGATAAACCCCCACTGTGTTTGTTGTTGTTGTATCTCTTTATCAGTTCTTAAATTTGCAACACTATTTTTTTTAATAGATTTGATGATTTTAACTTTTATCAAGCCTAAAAAAGGGGGGAAATGTTATTTTTTGTTGTTGTTCTTGTTGTGCTTTCCTTATAGAATTTAAGATCAAACCTTTAAAGAATGTTTTTTTTTTGAATAATTAATATACATTTATTGATTTTGTAGGTTCAATGATTTAGATTTATTAAAGTAGTTGTGTTTACTTCTATTTGCTAATTTTTGAACTTGTTATACCCTCTTTCAAGATTTGATTCTTTGTTTTTTTAAAAAAATATCTTTAAAATAGTCTTTTTCTTTGTCTTTTTATTGTTGTTGTAATTTCCCTTTAGATTAGACCTTCTAAGTGAATTTAAGTGTATAAATTATTATTAATTTTTTGCTTTAAGGATATCCTATTTTATGCTTTGAATTCATACTTTTTGAAGGTTGTTTGCTAATTGAGTTGATAATATATCAAGGTTAATCTTTTCTTGGTTAGGTTTATACATAAAAAAATAAAATAAGAAAAATGCTTAGATCTTGGGTTGTTAGATTTTCTTTCAATAGTTTGACTATAAAATATATCACTTCTAATATTTATTTAATTATCATTTAAAATATTATTGATAGATCTACGTTTCAAATATATTTTTTATGATTATTTATGATTGAATACCTTTTATTTTTATGTGATATTATTATTATTATTATTATTATTATAGAAGGGTCAAAAGAGATTTCTTTTGACATAATCTTTTTGAATAAGGTTAAAATCACAAGATTAGTTATCTTGGGATTGCAGATATTAATTTGATATAATTTAGATGCTCCTTAAACTATTCATTTGCATTTATAACTTTTTCCTTTTTATTTAAAGTGTATCATTCTTTAACTAGTAGCTTGACTATTTGTTTTATTTATCTAAATAGTTAAATTAAATCTTATTAACTCTCTATTCATTTTATCTTATTGTAGTGCAAAAATGGCTACTAAATCAACAAGACATGCTGCTGACAAAGTTGCCACTGCTTTTGTGGTTCAATACTATAACATTTTACAAACCCTAATCGACCAATCGTATCGATTTTACAAGGAAAAAAGTGTTCTAAGTTGGCCATCGTCCGATGGTGAAACTAAGTCTGTGACAACTTCTGATGTAAGTATTCTAACAGAGAATCTTAGTATTTCAGTCGGTTGACTATAATTTTTTTTTGTTTTTAACTTTGAATAAAATGTTGTTTCTATTTTTTGATTTTGGCTCAACATTTTTTTAATTTTAGGGCATAAGTGATTTTATCATGTCATCACACTTTAAGGGTAGCAAAGTTGAAGTCAAAACTATTGACTCTCAATTATCTGTTGCTGGTGGTGTTTTGGTGATAGTTATGGCTTATTTAATTGGGCAAGACAAGTCAAGAAAAGGGTTTTCTCAAACTTTTTTTCTTGCTCCACAAGAGACAGGATACTATGTGTTTAATGATATTTTTAGATTTATTGGTGAAGACAAATCTTCAACAATTGTTGAGGAAAATGGTTCAATTGCTACTCCTTTAGGTATGTCTTATAATCACCTCTTAGATGACATGATTGTATAAATATTTAATTTGTCAGCGCGTAGAACTTTAGCCTTTATTATTGATTATATTAAGTTGTTCTCCATTTGGATTATTATAGCTACTCAGAGCAAAGCTGAAAACAATGTTGATGATGAAGTCGACCAGAAGCCTTCAAGCCCAAAAGAAGAAGAACAAAAAAAGAAGGCCCCTGTGGCCCCCGTCATCGTTGAGAACGAGGCTCCAAAAATTACCTATGCTTCAATGGTTAGTCGTACTTTTTTGGATCGTTTGATTCACATGCTAGTTATATAAAGATCATAAGAATATTCTTAAATTGTAATTTTACTTCTTAAGTTTTGTCTAATTCAAAATATTTTCTATAGATAAAGCAAGGTAGGTCCTCGCCACCAAAAAATGTTGGCCTACCATCGGCTCCTAAAAAGCCGCAACCCAATAACTTCGTTCAGAAGTCTAGTTCGGGTGATGTGTTGAAAGTTGCAAGTACTCCTTCAACCAGAGACGTTGCGCAAGACAATTATCATAATGACATCGAATGTAAATTTCTATTGTTACAATAGTCAAATAATTGATGAAATTTTTATCATATTAAGTCAATTGTTGAATTATTTGTTTACATTTTACAGATAAGTCGATATTTGTTGGAGGATTACTACCCAACACAACAAAAAATGATTTATATGCTGTTGTTAAAGAGTTTGGACCCCTTCACATTCAAGACGTTCAACTAAAAGCTTATGAAGTATACGAGGTATATAAGTATCACTTTCATTTTATTTTTCGATTTATCATTTGCTTTAAACTTATTTTTTGTTTAATGATTAAGCATTTATATATATATTGAATTTTTTTTTAATGTAGGATGGATATTGTTGTGGTTTTGTGCATTTTCAAGATGCAATTTCTGCTCAAAAGGCTGTCCATGTAATGAATTTTACACATTTTATTCTTCAAAAATATTTATCGGTTTAAAGTTTATTGATAATGTTTGTCTTTTTTCTTTAATGTTTGATTCTAGACTCATCACATTATGGTGAAGGGGAAACGAGCTTACATGAGATACAAGAGAACTAACAAAGGTACTTATATATATATATGTGTGTGCGCTTGTCGTTTTATTTTGTTATAATACAGGATGACATAATCATCAGTTATTGATTTCACAGTTTGAACTGATGACCTATAGGTCATAGAGATGATTTTAATGTTACTTCAAGACTTTCTTTCTTTATTATATCGTAATCATATAGTATTTAAATTTTATTCAGTTCACGGAGAGAGGGCAAATTCTCCATCGGAGAGAGGTGAATTTTGCGGTGGTCAACGTTCGAGAAGCCGGCCTCAAAGTTCTGATGGACGTTGGGGAGAAGGTTACCAACAAAAGAACTATAATTAGTGTTGTTTTAGACCTAATTAATTATATCAAATCTTGTTATGGTTTTATTACATGTTCATGTTAAAGGTACAATATTTTGGTTTTTGGATGGTTTTAAAAACTAATACTACTTCAACTTTATAGATTTTAATATCTATATAGTTTCAACTCATTTTGAAGTTGCTTCAATAGTTTATTGTATATTTTTATGTGACTTTTGTTTAGGTCCATTATATTTTTGAATCGAGGTAATAATATATCGAGATATTATTACCTAGGTTCCTAAATTTAGAACGAACTAAAATGCAGGTGGCTAGTAGTTATTATATGTTACATTTTCAATAGACACGTAAATCATTTAAGGCCTCACTTCTTTTTTTTTTTAGAGAAAAAGAAATATTTGGACTTCATTATAGTAGGTTGGATCTTTTTTTTTATTTTTAATAATATAGTTATATTCTATTTATTTCTTTTGGTCCACCTTTCATTTTCAATAACTAACTACGTGGTCATGGTGGCTAAATTTATGATAACCATACACATTATTCCACCTATATTTTTCTATGATCTCTATCTAAGTATTATAAGAAATATAGCTAATAATCATATATTAGCTATATTGTTTCCGTGTGATTTATATTTGATAAGTTCGAGTCGTAGAATCAGTCATTGATGCTTGCATCATGATAAACTTTCTATATTACATCCCTTAAGGATGCGATCCTTCTTCGAATCCTGCATAAACGCGAAATGTTTAGTGCACCAAAAAAATTTTCTTAAATTTTGTCTAATATATCCAACTCTATGGCATTATCTAGAATTTTTTATTTTTTTTTGGTATGAGAGATTAGAGCTAGTATTTATTCCATTAATAGCATGTTTGAAATTTCCCATTTATGTGTTTTTAATTCTAGAATAGCAATATCGTTAGTAATTGAGTTCTGAATTTAATTTTTTTTGCACATATTGGACTAAAGTTACTGGTTAAGCCGAACTTGTAGGTAACCTTCTAGCTCCGCCTCTGATTTCAAGACTTGTTAATTATCATAGAATATGGAGTTTTGGGCTGTTGTAGCAGCTGCAGGAGCAGGTTATATAGCACAATATTTGCAAAGTTCATCAGAGGAAAAGGACAACTTACTAGTACATAACAAGAATTTGTTGCACCAATTACGCGAAAAAGTGTGTCCGTTTCACATATTAGCTCGAAAAAGAGCTAAAAAGGAAGTCCCCGATGAAGGAGTTTTCAGATTCAGAGATCTTAATCTTGATTCATTAGAATGCCTCAAGAAAGATTCAATTTTTCCATCCTCTACAAATTATGAGTGTGCAATTCAAAGTAATAAAGATTCTGGTGGATCATTCAATACAACAGGTTCTAACTTCAAAAACCATATGAAGTTTATTTGGATTTAACGTATATATACTGACAGCGTATAGAAATTTTACAGTATATGTGTTTTTGACATGTTGTAGCGCGTAACATGCCTTATTTTCTAGGTTATTGTTTACATGTATATATTGTTTGAAGTTATCTGTAGTTATCATTTAGGTGACGATGTTAGTATATATAAGTTAAACTGTACTCATTTCAATTGATGTTATATATTCTTGTTTCAGTTTCTTCTTATTGCATACCTATCAATTGTTTCCACTCAGTTTCTACTTATTGCATACTTACCAGATCATATGAGTCAAGGGTATTTCGGAAATAGCCTCTCTACCTTCACGAGGTAGGGGTAAGGTCTACGTACACTCTACACTCCTACTCTCCCCATGCCCCGCTATGAGATTTCACTGGATATGTTGTTGTAGGTTGAATGAGTTGTTCTTCTGCTCTCGATAGTCCCTTTTTTCATGATTTGGTTTCAACATTTCTTATGAGATATAAGTTTTTAAAGAATTTGTTGAATATTTATGCAAAGTTATCTATTTTCGAGTGTATTGTCATCCGGTTGCTCTATCCATTTGGAGAAAAGCAATTGAAGAACATGAGTTTATTGTTATTTTGATGATCTAATGGATCTCACCAAAAACCTATGTTGCTCGAACTCTTAAAAAATTCCACTAGGTGAGTAGTGTTTTTGGGAGGATTCAACACGAGTGCAGCAATATTTTTGTAGAGTTCGAGCAACATAGGCCAATACATAAAGCAATTTAGCTACCTTCAAGATTTTGACTAAATAGAATGGCTCTATCTAGCCAAAACTTATGTTGCTCGGACTCTTAGTATCATTTTTGGAGTATTCGACATGAGTATGACAACATTTTTGGAGAGTCCGAGCAATATACGTACATAAACCAATTTAGTTACCTAATGCCTTATTTCTGTTTCTCCTTTGTCTTGATTCAAGCAGGGCTACCAAATGGAATGACTCTATTCTATATGGGAATTGTTAGTGGCATGATGTCTGCTGTTATTGCAAACAGAAAAGAGATAGAAAAGGTTAATGAGAAGTTTAAATGGACCAAGAGTTTAGTACAAGAGTTAGAAGAGGAGCTCAATGTGAAAGAGATTGCTAATGATGATTATGAAGATCCAAATCTATATAGTCTCTCTATGTCAACTGTTGATGAACCAACAAGACAAACCAGTGAAGCAGAAAAACACGAGTCGATGAGCGAAATTGAGGCAGAGCTTGAAGCTGAATTGGAAAGGTTGGAAATGAGCTTGAAGGTTTCAACCTTTGAAAGAATATCTGATTTTGTTGAGGTAAGCCTGCATTTAGCTATACTTCTACTTATTGGTACTTTTTGAAAATATCGTTTTCGAGACTTTGACTGAGATGACCCCACAAATGGAACGAAGTGGATAGTGAGGATTTTGTATAGCCGACTCCAACTTGCTTGAGATTGAGACACAATTGTCATTTTTGATGTCCATGTTGACAAAATTTCTGATTCATAAAAAATTAAAATTTGCAGCTAGATCCAGAAGATGAAATAAATGTGGTTCAAGGAGACTTAAAACTAGATTGCCTCAGTGTACAGAGTCCTGATTCATCAGAATCAGATAGTCATACTAATGGAACTTGGATTGTTCATTCTAAACCTGCCAACTATCCTGTTTCCCCGAGGGAGCTTAGCTCGCGTCTGCATGAGGTAATAGAATCCAGACTAGAAGCTCGAATTAAGGAGCTCGAAACAGACCTTTATCATAGCCAAAATAGAGTTTGTTCATTGGAAACACAGCATAATCTCTCTCAAAAGGACTTTGCATCGCGGGAATCAGAGTCATCTGAATGTCTACAAAGTTCATATTGGTATCATGAGGCTGATGAAGAGACCATCAGGATCATGCATGGAAGTGAAAATGCTTTTGACACTAATACAAGAATCCCTCCTTTTGATGGAGGATTGATTGATAGCCCAAACGAAAAAAAGGGTGGCCTGGTGCACGAACGTAAGCAGCCTACCTTGATGCAATTGTTAAAGACAGAATCCATGGCTCAAACCCGTGAGCTGCAGGTCACACGGAAACAACATTACCATTGCTCCAAGGTTCCCATTCATTGATAGACCAGATATGATAGGAAAATGATCATATCCATATTATGCTGTCTTCTGTTATTTTTTATGTTATATTGGTATCTTCTTACAACTCTTTTAAGTATAGAGACACAATGTGCAGTGTACATGTAAAGATTGAAGAATTTTGTATTTTGTATAGAACAGCAGACACTGGGGAGAGGGTGTTATTCTGCTTTACTTAAGATGGTGTAGCCTTTGTGCCATGGATTCAAGTTTCAACTGAATCCATCATTTTCGACACACAACGTAGATGTAAAATGAAAAACATTAAGATCACAATAAACGTTATATTCTGAACTCATAATTTCAACAGTACAACGAGTTCAATAGTAAAAAAATTGAAAGTTAAACCATCATGTTTAAGTCATGGATTCGCCTCTGGTCCAAGCCTTCACAGGCGTTTACATATAGAGAAAAACTCCATTTCCTGCTTAGTCTGCTTTTCTGAATCTAATGCAGAGAAGGGGAATAGTAGCTCAGATAAAAGGCAAAACAAAAATTCAGTCTTGTCAGCTTAACGCATTAAGAAGCTCCAGAACAAGATGAGAGAATGAAGAATCAAATGATCGTGACGATTTCCACTCCATCTTCATTATAGATGTTAAGATTTGTTTACAGTGGAAGAAGTTTCTTATGCTTAAAGTAAATCATGAAAGCAATGTATAAGACCAAACAAAAGATTCCAGTGATGATAATAGTCCAGTCAAACCCATCCGGATCGTCAAAAACTGTGGCTTTCAAGTTCATTCCAAATACTGCAGTCACCATAGCAAATATTGTTGCCACAAAAGTGGCAGCTGTTAGAAGCAACTCAAATTGTATTAGCTGATTCTGGACATTGGCCTGTTACATAATAAAGTTTTGAGTGAGTTTCATGAACATTACAGTGTAGATACGTGTTGTATTTAATGTATATGAAAAGTTATGCTGAAACAAAAGACATCAAGAAACAAGGGAACACTAAAAGATAGTATCCACAAGTTAGTCTTACAAGTTTTATATTGATCAGATCCTCCGTATCATCAATATATTCTTTAAGCTGCAACACAAGAGAGAACGAACGTGAGAAATACAAATTCTTCAGTTGGAATATTGAATCAAATTAATTAGGAGGTCATGCATTATGAGTTATGGGAGAAAATCTTGGTGTATGGATTATTTGACTCTTCAATGGATGATTTTGAAGGGATTAAATCATCGATGCTATAAGTTAGGGGTCTGTGTAGTCTGCAGTATCTTTACCAGAATAATTCATACATTGAAAACTTCAAGAGCAATAACTAGGGGTAGATTAAGCAACTAGACAACATACAACATAAAGAAAAAAGGAAAGGAAGTGACTGGCGCGCCCAAGGTTGTAGAGAAATGCTAGGATCAAAACAGTAATACAAGATCTACTAAGTATACCCCCTTAATATTAATCAAATGCTAGATTACTCCCATAATTCTCCCTTATCCGTAAACCAGAACCCGAGGCTATGTTTTAGCAA